GGTACTGGCGGGACAGGTGCCCCTCAACAAGTACATTCATCACCAAGCAGCTCACCAAGCGACCGGACGACTACCCAGATGCCAAGAACCAGCCCCACGTGCAGGTGGGTGGGTGGGTGGTGGTGGAAGGATGGTGTGTGTCGGGTGTTTGGAGGTGGGGCCAGTGCGGTCTGCTGGGCGGGCGCAGAGTGGGGCAGCCCCACGTGCAGGTGGGTGCCGGCGCTAGAGTGGGGACGAAGGGTGGTGTGGGTGGTGTGGGTGGCGCCTGTGCTGATGCCCGGAAGCTGCCGCACGGCAACGAGGCATGCGTGTGCGGGTGTGGTGTTGGTGGGGGGTGTGCGGAACAGCGGCGTGGGTGCGTGAGCATGTGCGATGTGTGTGGTGGTGGAAGGGCGGGGTGCTGCCGGCTGGTGCCTGCCTGCTGTGCCTGCTGTGCCAGCAGGCGTGGGTGCGGGCCTGTGTGCCAGATGTTTGGTGGCGGCGCCGGCGCGGCGTGATGCAGCCTGCTGGGCGGACGCAGAGGCAGATTCCCTCCCCTTTTCGGGCGGTACAGCCGGCGTTACTACACACCTATCTCTGCCGCGCCTGAACCTGTGTGCGCAGGTCGCGCTGCGGCGGCGCGCCTCAGGCAAGCAAAACGGCGTCATGGCGGTGAGTGTGTGGGCGGGATGGGGCTGGCGGGCGGCGGCGGTGGTGGCGGCGGCGGCCTGTGTTGATGCCCGGGCTGCGTCTCGGCGCGGCACGTGAGGGAGGGGGGCAGGCACGGCCAGCAGCTTTCTTGGTGCAGCACACCACCAGTCGCACCCCACGCCGAGGGGCCCTGCCGCCTTCCTGTCACCTTCCCGCCACCTTCCCGTCACCTTCCCGCCACCTTCCGCAGGGCGAGACCGTGCCCTACATCATCTGCCGCGAGGCGGACGCCGACGGCGGCCTGGTACCGCTGGCGGCGGGGGGCGGCAAGGGCCTGGCCGACCGCGCTTTCCACCCCGAGGAGGTCAACGCCAGCTCAGCGCTGGTCGTCGACACAGAGTACTACCTCGCGCAGCAGGTGGGGGCCAACCACACTTCTGTACAACGGAAAGCTACCAACCGCAGTCCAGCTGTGCTGTGCTGCTGCACTGTGTCGCGCGGGCATCGCTGTGCCGTGCTGCGCTGCGCTGCGCCGCGTGTGGTTGGCGGGCAAGGCAGGTCGCCTCAGAAGTGCCCGAGGCTTGCGCTAGAAAGCTGTGCTTGAGAAGTGCGGTGTGTGGCCGGACGTGGGGGCGTGGTCGCCCGCCCGGTCTGGCTCCTGACGCCAGCCGCGCATCTGCATCGCGCCCCCACAATCCCCGTGTGCATGCCCCACCCCTCTGTTCTTACACCATCCCTCCCGTACCCCCCCACCTCCCGACCATCCCTCCCCTCCTCACCACCACCCTCCTCCCCCACTTTTGTTATTCCTGCCCCCACCCCACCCCGCCACCCCTTCACAGGTCTTCCCAGTTGTCTCCCGCCTGTGCGCTCCCATGGAGGGCACCGACGCCGGCCGCCTGGCAGAGTGCCTGGGGCTGGACGGGGCGCGGTTCCGGGCGGCGGCGGCGGCGGGGCGGGGGGAGGCGCGTGAGGACGCGCTGCTGGCGGCGGCGGCCAGCCTGGACGACGAGGACAGGTGTGTGCGTGTGGCAGCGTGACACCCCGCCTGCCCCGCTGCCACCCCACCTGCTTCCTGCAACACTACGCCTGCTTCTGCCTGCCTCTGCCTTCAGGTACAAAGACTGCCAGCCCCTGATGCTGTCCGCCCCCGGCGGCGCCGCCCCCTGGCGCTTCCCCGGAGTGCGGGAGCTGCTCAAGCCGCACCCTCCGGTGGCCATCGATGCCGCGCTGCTGCCGCCGCCGCCGGGCGGCGGCGAGGGACAGGGCGACGGCGAGGGCGGTGCATCGGCGGCGGTGGAGCCGCGCCGCCCGCTCTCCACCGCCGCTCTGTGCAACCAGGTGCGGCTGGCGCAGCGGGCGGCGATACGGCGGTACTATGAGGGACGGGTGCGGAGCGACGACGAAACAGCGCCGTGCGAAGGCCGCAACGTGTGCCTGGCGGTACGGGAGGATGCGGCGCCGGGCATGGTACCGCCCGACCTGCGCTGCACGGGGCACATGCGGCTTGTGGTGGGGGAGGGAGAGCTGTACACGCAGGTGGGTGGTACCGCCGGGATGGGGCTGGTACCGTGGGGTGGTGCCCTGCCCTTTGCTGGGCGGGGTGGTGAGGTGGGGGTAGTGAGGCCGGGCGGGTGGGCCCCGCCTGAGAAAGGGCAAGCTGGCAGGCGCAGCGTGTGGAATGGAGCCGCCCCCCCGGCCGGCAGGCCTCAGGCGGCGGGCTGGCTGCGGCGGCGGCAGGCGTGCAGCCCGCCAGGGTGGCGCCGCCGTCGCCGCCCGCCCGCTCCTTCCCCGCCCCCGCCAGGCCTGCCGCCGCCGACGCTCATCGCTGTGCCTCCCCTCCCCGTGAGTGGTTTCCACCCCGTGCTTTCCACCCGCAGCTGTCCTACCTGCACCGCCTGTTTGATGTGGAGGGCGTGCTGCACTCCCTGGATAACCGCGAGGCGGCGGAGGCAGCTGCCCAGAAGCTGGCCCCGCTGCGCCCCGCGCTGGACGAGGCGGCGGCGGCGGCGGCGGCGCTGCGGGACGCCTCGGCGTACCGCTGGGTGGACCTGGGCGCCATGTTTGGCCGCCTCGGCGCCATGCTGGCTGCTGGGTAGCTACCTATAGGCGCCTGGCTGGGGAGGGATGGTGTGCGGCAGCGGCAGCGGAGGGAGAAGGTGGGAACGGCGCAGAGGGCTGGGCACGGCATGACTACGGCCCCGGGAGCGCAGCCCCTGCCTGGGGCCTGGCTGCATGCGGCCTGATGCATGCGCTTTGAGCCACCCCGCTTGCCGGTGCGGCGGCGGTTGCTGAGTATGCAAAGCTTCTTGCTAGTGTAATCGCAGCATGAACACAACAACACGATGCATTCAGGAGGGCTGCACCTGCTGTGACAGTGAGAGCTTCAATGCAGCGACATGTCTTGCTGAATGTATGGCGACGGCATGTCATGCGGTATGCTTCTCTGGCCAGGCGAGTGTTGCTTTAGAATGCCAGGAATGAGGGTGCAAAAGGAAAACAACAGTTTCTGTCCAGGGTCCAAATTGATCTTAACAATGTGGCGGCTCGCCGCCTGAAAGCAGCCCCCACACAGGCGGCTGTCTGGCCGAGGTACGGACAATCCCCTCCGATCCTGGTCATTTCCCAAACAGGCACCGGCTCAGTTCCGAATAGACACCAGCGCCACTAGGTTTCCTCCCACAACTGTGTCACGCCCCGCAGCACGGTCAGCATGATGGTGGTCATCTGCCCTGTACAGGTTATGTACTGGACATGTCCGATCTAGCTCAGCTACACAAGCAGAGTCACAAAAGTGGAATGAAAACCTCCCAAATTCATTCCGGGATAGCGGGGACCAGGTGCGGTCGCAAGGGTAGGCCGCTGCCATCACCTCCTCAGTTAATGATGGTGTTGCCATTGTCGTCTGTTGCGCCAATGATGGTGTTGCCGCGGTTGTCAGTAGCACCAATCACAATGTTGCCACGGTCATCCTTGTAGCCAACAACTCCGCCATTGATAATGATGGTCTGGGCGGGCGTGGCCTGGGCGGGCTGGGCCGGCTGGGCCGGCTGGGCGTCTCCCTGCATTCCATCCGCCAGCCGGCAGTGAACACCGGCGGGGGGTACGGCGGGCCTCCCAACATTGCCCACCCAAGACCTTTGGACAGCACCTCCCGCAGCTGCTGTTCAGCCGTTGTGGGTCACCTGGTCAGCCATGATTCTGCAAGCAGCCGGTTACAAAAATAGCGGCAGATGAGACACCAGGATCCAGGTGGCCTTCCGGAAGGCCAGCGGCGGTGGCAGCAACATATGGGTGCCGGCACCAGCCCAGCGTCCATTTCCCTCCGCCGTCTCAAGTAGCCCCCGCGTCCCCAGCCGGTCCCACCGGCACTGTGCCAACAGCTCGGCGATCACAAACTGCGCCTCCTGACCTGAGACTTGCGATCCCCTCTGCGAATCACAACCTTCTGGAGGCGGTCGGGTCTGGAGACACCACTTGCTTGACGCTACGTTGAGGCTTGAGAAGAAGAAGGACGATAATAAGCGGGACCCGTGATTTGCATTGCCGTACTTCCCGGAAACGGGGTCCGACCCCCTGACGTTCAGTGAACGAGGGGATACGTGCAGGTCAGGCTGGCTCGATCAGCCGCAGCCTCATGGCCGTCGCTCCTCCCGGCCACCTGCACCGACGCTGCATCCGCTGCTGGTGCTGCCGCTGCCACCGCTGCTGCCGCCGTGGCTGCCCCAGGGGCAAGGCTGCCCCGCCACCCCCCTCGTCCGATGAATCAGCTGCCTGCGTACATCGTGCCCCCTTGACATTGCCAAACATATTTCCTGCATGACGCTGGCTGATATTGTACAACTGCCAGCGTGTAATACATCCTTAAGCCTTGCCGCATCACGACTGTAGACCAGGATCGGGCATGGCACAGGGCTGAGCACGGCGCTCCCGCTGTCCTTGCTCTCACGCAGCACTGGCTGCGTGCCTGATCAGGTGCATCGATGCGCGTGTGCCAGACCGTCTGCCAGACATGACGTGGCCGCTGCAGAACCTGGGATGCAGCGCACAGAGACCTTCTTGCTATTGCAATTGCAACATGCAGCCTGGGTGCTATAACACCAGATGCAGACTAGGTGCTGGTTACAGCACCAGAGGCTGGGCTGGAGCGGCGGGTCCCTTGGCAGCAGTCGCCGCCGCCAAGGCGAGCCGCCGGTTTACCATCATCCTCCCCAGCGGCCCCAGGAGCACCGGCATGCCTGTTCTGATTCAAGGGCACAGATTTGGCATTGTTGGAACGCGTTCACACACATGTGGATTCAGACTTTATGCCCTGCGCCATGTAACGATCCGCCGAGGCTGCAAAAACATACCACGACATACCAGAAGCGTTTTTGTGCCGCCGCAAGCGGCGATTGTCGTTATTCAACGAAACGGCGGTACAAGCTGTGTACCTCTGCCTCCCCGCCACATCTGGATCTCTATGACGTGCATGGCTACGCATTGCGGCTGCCAGTCACTGTCGGCACCGCCAACGTTCCTCCTCTCCACCCCGACGCCATGGCCTCCGCCGTGTGCTCAGGCACCAGTCGGGCGCCGGTGGCAGCGGCCCAGCAGGCTCGGGCCCGGCGCGAACGCACGCTCTCAGCGTCCTGGCGCCCCGCCGCCCTGCCCGCGCAGCCGCAGGCCCGCCGGCCTGGCGCCGCCCACCGCCAGCGCCGCGCCGCCGCCGTCACTCGCGCTCTCTTTGGCGGCCTGGGCGCCGTGTTCCGCAACGATCCTGCGGAGCGTACCCGCAAGCAGTACCAGGACAAGGTTGACCAGGTCAACGCCCTGGAGGCAGACATGGAGCGGCTGAGCGACGGGCAGCTGCGGCAGCTGACGCAGGCGCTGCGGGGGCGCGCCGCCGCGGGCGAGCCCCTGGACCAGCTGCTGGTGGAGTCGTTTGCGGTGAGCGGGGCCAGCCGGGAGGTGATGCCGGCCGGAAGGTGAATCCGGCTGGAGGCTGGAGGGGCGGGGATGCTCCGCACGGCGGCGCGGCATGTGGGCGCGGCGGTTTTGGACCGGGGCCGGGGCGCACCTCTCTGCCCTCTCTGCCCACCCATTCTGCCCTCCCTCCCTCTGTCCTCCCTCTCTGCCTTCCCTTGTCACCTGCCTGCCCTCTCTTCCTTCTCCCTCTGCTCACCCTCTCTGCCCTCCCTCCCCACCCACCCTCCCCACCGCCCCGCAGCTGGTGCGCGAGGCGTCGCGGCGCGTGCTGGGCCTGCGCCCGTTTGACGTGCAGCTCATGGGAGGCATGATCCTGCACGAGGGCCAGATCGCGGAGATGCGGACGGGGGAGGGCAAGACGCTGGTGGCCGTGCTGCCCGCCTTCCTCAACGCGCTGTCGGGTGGGTGGTTGGGTGTATGTGGGTGTGTGTGGAGGGCGTGTGTGTGCGCGCCCTGCTGCCGCCGCCTACCCCTTCGCCCCTCCCCTCGCTCCTCCCTCCTCCACGCCTGCACCCTTCGCCCCGCCCCCTCCCCCGTTTGCCTCCCGCGCCTCGCCCCTCACCCTCCCTCCTCCCGTGCCCCTCCCCCCCCTTTGCCCCCTCCACCCCTCCCCGCGC